TGCTACACCGGGTCATGTAGAATGCTTCATATATTCGATCCTAAAAGGTCCACAAATTATCCCAGTTTTGCAATCTTGGTGTCCTCTGAAAGGGCACGTTTTTCTATCCATTCATTTAAGATTGATACCAATATCAAGAGAAATATCTTCCAAAGAAAGTATGAGTTTTTTGTCTGTCTGCTTCATATTTTGCGCAATTGTGACTTTGTAGTACACCGGGTCATGTAGACTGCTTTAAATATTCGATCCTAAAAGGTCCACAAATTATCCACGTTTTGCAATCTTGGTGTCCTCTGAAAGAAAACGTTTCTATGTCCATTCATATAAGATTCATACCAATATATGCAGTTGTTAAAGAAATATCTTCCAAAGGAAGTGCGAGTTTTTTGCCTGACTGCTTTCTATTATTGCGTATTTCCGACTTACACCGGGTCCTGAAGAATGCTTCATATATTTGATTGTAAAAGGTCTGAAATTTATCCAAATTTTCCTGTCTCGGTTTCATCTTGAAAGGCATATTTTTTCCATCGATTCATATTAGTGTCATATCTATATTTGCAGTAGTTAGGAAAATATCTGCGAAAAGACGTGTCAATTCTTGTCTGACTTCTTTATAATTTTGCGTAATTGTGACTTTTCGCTACACCGGGTCACGTAGAATGCTTCATATATTTGATTGTAAAAGGTCTAGAAAATTATGCAAATTTTCCTGTCATAGTGTCATCTGAAAGGGCATATTTTGATCCATCGATTCATATTAGTGTCATATCCATATATGCAGTAGGCCTAGTTAGGAAAATATCTGCAAAAAGACGTACCAGTTCTTGTCTGACTGCTTTACATTTCTGGCGTAATTGTGACTTTGCGCTACACCGGGTCCAGTACTTCATATACTCGATCCTAAAAGGTCCACAAATTATCAAAGTTTTGGAATTTTGGTGTCCTCTGAAAGGGCACGTTTGTCTATTCATTCATATGAGATTCATACCAATAGGTGCAGTAGTTAGAGAAATATCTTCCAAAGGAAGTGCGCATTTTTTGTCTGACTGCTTTATATTTTTGCGTAATTCTGACTTTGCACTACACCAGGTCATGTAGAATGCTTTATATGTTTAATCCTAAAAGCTCTAAAAAGTATCTAAATTTCCCAATCTTGGTGTCATCTGAAAGGGCACATGTTCTTCCATCGATTCATATTAGCGTCAAATCTATATCTGCAGCAGTCAGGGAAATATCTGCGACAGAATGTGCGAGTTTTTTTGTCTGACTAATTTATATTTTTCCATAATTTTGACTTTGGGCTACACCGGGTCCTGTAGAATGCTTGATATATTTGATCATTAAAGGTCCAAAAATTATCCAAATTTTGCAATCTTGGCGTCATCTGAAAGGGCACATGTTCTTTCATCGATTGATATGTTTCATATCAATATTTGCAGTAGTAGGAGAAATATTTTCCAAAGGAAGTGCGAGTTTTTTGTCAGACTGCTATATATTTTTGCGTAACTCTGACTTTGTGCTACAACGGGTCATGTAGAACGTTTCATATATTTGATTCTAAAAGGTCTAAAAATTATTGAAATTTTCCAGCCTTGGTGTCATCTGTAAGGGCGTGTTCCTCCATCGATTCATATTAGTTTCATATCCATATTTGCAGCAGTAGTTAGGAAAATATCTGCAATAAGATGTGCGAGTTCTTGTCTGACTGCTTCATATTTTTGCGTAACTGTGACTTTACGCTACACCGGGTCCTGCAGAATACTTTAGATATTTGATTCTAAAAGGTCTAAAAATTATTAAAATCTTCCAGTCTTCGTGTCATCTGAATGGGTACATGGTTATCCGTCGATTCATATAAGTTTCAAATCCATATTTGCAGTAGTTAGAGAAATATCTGCAAAAGGAAGTGAGAGTTTTTTGTCTGACTGCTTTATATTTTTGTTTAATTCTGACTTTGCGCTACATTGGGTCCAGTAAAATACTTCACATATTCGGCCCTAAAAGGTGCAACATTTATCCAAATTTTGCAATTTTGGTGTCACCTGAAGGGGCACACGTCCCTCCATTGATTGATGTAAGTTTCACATCAATATTTACAGTAGTTAGAGAAATATCTTCCAAAGAAAGGGTGCATGGTCCTCCATCGATTCATACTACGGTTTCTTGCATATTTGCAGTAGTTAAAGAAATATCTGCGAAAGGAAGTGCCGGTTTGTTGTCTTACCGATTTATTTTTGCGTAATTTTGACTGGGCTACACCTTGCCAGTAGAATATTTTGTGTATTGGAGCATAAGAAGTTTTTAAAAGTATCCAAATCTTTCAGTCTTGGTGTCATTTGAATGGGCACATTCTCCTCCATTAATTAATACATGTTTCATTTCCATTTGCAGGAGTTGGAGTAATATCCTCCAAAGGAAGTGCGAGTTTTTTGTTTGACTGCTTTCTATTTTTGCGTAATTACGACTTTCCGCTACACCGGGGTGTGCTTTAGAGGAATATTGACCTTATGTGATGATGACGTCGTCAGGAGACAGTCAAGTAACATTATAGGTGCACTCTTTTAAGGTCCTATACCTCCTAAAGTAAACGTCCTATTAGGTTCAAATCTTGCAGGTATCTCTAAAACGGAGTGCTTTTTAGAGGAATATTGACCTCGTGATGACGACTCAGGAGACAAGTCACGTTACATTAAATGTGCACTCTTTAAAGCCCTATATCTCCTGAAGTGGCTCTTCGATCGGGTTTTAATCTTGCAGATATCTTGAAAAGGGAGTGCTTTAGAGAAATATTGACCTTAGCTGATGATGATGTTCTCAGGAGACAAGTTAAATTAAAGGTACATTGTTTAAAGTCCCATATCCTGTGATGTACATACCCATCGATTTCGTACGTTGCAGAACAAGGAAAGAAGGTGTTTTAGACGAAAATGTACCTGATGTGATGATGACATCACCAGATGAGGAGTCAAATTACCTTTAATTTACGTACATGCCTGATTGGGTTGAAACCTTGGACCAAAATGATCATGACGACAGATTTACGCCATCAGATTTGTGCAGTAGATTGGTTGTTCAACTTGAGCAAGGGATGTTCTGTTGGTAAACAGACAGATGACCTCCCTTGATATACCTTCAGCTTGTAGTTTTAGGGCATTGGGCGCCGGGCAGCAACGACCAGGGATTAACCCTGACATCTAGTCCTGAATCCTCCGATTTCGGTATCTTACGTACACCAATGAATAGCATCCGTGCCCATTGTGGCTCTGTTGATCTTCTGTTGGTGTTTCTTTGTTGCAATAAATTGAGAAATAGCCAAAATACCAGAGAGCCAGATGTCACATTATCATCAACATAATTATTAAGAGTCCCACGTACATTTCCAAAGTCGAATTGTGCTAATAAATGTAATTAGAACCCTCCCCCTTTCCACCCAGGATCCACCCCCAAAGTGGGTATATCAACAACAAAATGAACCCAGATGGATCACACAATAAAACGTTTTTGTTGAAGAGGGAAAATTTGTCCAGATTTGGTGAGGGAAAGAAAGAAACAAGCACCTTCAAGATGCACAAAAGCATGCACACAAGTATGCTGTTTTCTTATTCAAAACGCGTAAAAGACCATAGCCATGCCTTCATTCATTAACCCCTGCGGTTTCTCCCTGGGGCAATATTTCCCAATTTTTTTCCCCAAAATAATGACTTTGGAGATATTCCCTTTCTCTTAAGTGTGCTGTTGTGTCGCAACGCCAGTAAAAGTTATACATTGAAAATATTCTATATTAGAGGGTCCAGAGAACCACAGCACTGAAGAATTAAAGAAATATGACACTGAACCTCTGGGCCGGACTCAGGGTTTCCAATTCTGAGCAATTTGGATGCAATTGGGTCCGAAAGTGGTACTATTTGGGCCATTTTGCAGAGGCATGCATTTTCAAAATGGCTACTTCTCCAGGCAGTGAAAATTCCTTCATATTAGAAGTGGTCTGCTTTGGGTGAGAATTTCTCAAAAATTCATTGGTCAACCCACGAAAAAATTGAAAGGACAATGAAAGAGGACATGTGGAACATAATTTTTCTGTGCAGCCTGAACACCTGTGAGTTGTATTTTTAAAATATTTGTGAAGTATGGTGATTTAGCACTGCTGTCTATGGCAATTTATTTGCTGTGGTGCACCTATCAGGTCAGGGACCAAACCGCAATCTAGCGACGTCCTATTTTTCTTTTTTTTTTGATTTACCATTTTTATCGGCAGAATTGGACTCGCCTGCAAACCGAATTGAACACATCCAGTGCAAGATCCGACCGAAAAATCTCCTTGATCCACTATTATAGATAGCAAATGAGAGGAAAGTTTCATGTGGATCTTGGGTAGCATGTTTCCTGTATATTTGATCAATCAGAGCAGTTTGTACTGACGTTATTGGCCGATAAAGAGATCAATGGCACCTACAAACCGTGATCTAGAAATAGTTGTAGTTCAAAAATTACATCATTGTTGCGCAAACGAGCGGCGTATCTATAGTCTGGTGTCGTCGAAAGACTGGTTTGGTCCCCGACCTGTCTATTCAAGTATTTAGATATTCAGAAGTGAAAGATCAAATTTTGGCAGGACAGTTCGCTTTCAGGTCAGGTAATTTTTAAGTTTCTAAAATTTATATGCCAGCATATATTTTACAAAGCCCTTCCCGAGTTGATTTTTGGAATAAGTAAACGAACAGGGAAAAAAAGTAATTCTAAAATCGTTGCACTTTTTTTTCTATTCAAGAGTTCCGGAAGCGCGTCACCAGGGATCAACTTTCAGGCTCTACATGTATATGAATAAAAATCTTTTTTCAAACTCTACAGAATGACCAAAATCCTTGTCAAATGGTCAACTCATTAGACACAGTTATACAAAGACACAAGTCTTCTTGAACAGAAGCAATCGTGCATTAAAAAAAGGGCGGAATATGACTCAATTGTGAGGACCAAAGGAAAAAACAGAGCACTAAAACCGGTTGGTTCATCAATTTTTCTGCCAATGAGCATGTTGCCCAACGGGGGTGATTTACAACTGGCTAAACCCACCCCAAAACAAAACAGGTCAAGCACTTGTTTGTCTAAATTTGTACGTCAGCGTGCACAATTATAAGACAGACCCCTTACCTTTAAGAGCCTAGGCACAAGCTTCTTGACATACTTCTTATCTGGGTTAGTGTAGCAAGTGGAAGAAGTGTGCATAACTACCGGAATGTTCATCAACTTTTTAGAATAGTTTACTGCAGGATTCTAGGCTGTATTGGGTACATGTCTTACATGTAAGTCACAGCTCACCATATTCATACATAAAACACACTAAAATGGACTCTGATGACAAGATTTATGAACCCACCTGTAGCTAAAAAAGCTCAGGTAAGAAAGTGTAACATGAAATATTTCCTTTAGAAATTCATGTAACAGTTGTAACTGTATGCAACAAGCCTTGATTCACTGATGTGGTTCAATAAGAATGTATGATCTTTAGATCCGTCTTTTGTATAATTCAAACCAAATTGTACACCTTTACTGAAAGCAAAGTTCAAGGCATACATAACTTTACTTACAGTTGGTCCTCAAGATACCTTTGTGATAAACATTATTTTGATCTCTTTGGTGACTTATCATATCTGTGCTATTAACGATAAAAGAATCATAAAATAACTTATGGTGTCTGTCATGAGGATGTTTTGGCTTTTGTCATTTCTGGAATAAAACAGAGGAAAATACTACACAAAATGAATATTCATTCCAATAAAATACACGCAGGGCAAATGTTAGCGAACGCTACAGCAAGACTCCTACATTATAAAAAGGACGTAGTATTCTTAACAAAACATGTCAAATCATGCATGCAAGCTCACAAATTTCCACATATCTTGACATTACACTTTTGATAAAAAAAATCAAACTTTGTTTTTACACTTAATGTGGCAAAAGCTGTGTTATTTGAATGAAATGCAGGTCTCAAACCAACTTCAATTAAAAAAACTAAAACATGTTAACATTAAGCTTATGTTCACACTAAACACATACATTTAACAACATGAAATAGTACAGGCACAAACAAAATCCAGGCAAAGATCCTTACCCTAATACATGTATATCAATACCACAGTTTGTCATGGATTCAATTTCACATACATACAAAATTATTACAAATGTTGCATTGGTTTAGATCAACACAGATTTTCATCAATAGACAGACAAGGTAACAATTATCACTTATAAATCAAATCAAAAATACTAGCACACAATGCTATCATTTGAAGTACATGGTAAAGATTTAGGAAACTTTTAGAAAATTCCACAACAAATACTATTATACAGAAATAAAGTCTGACTCATTTCATAATTGGCACCTCATAAAAAGTCATGTTACTGGTTTCCTACATTGTGTAAAATGACAACAGACATGGTACCGATTTTCAGTTACGTAAAAGTTGTGGGGACAGAGACATCCCCACAACTTGTTATCGGTCTTAATTTGGCAAACAAAGGATACTGTGATGATTATTGTCCGCCCAAAGCTAATTACACACACCACTTCTTTCTGTCACACTATTGCAGGGAAATATGATGTAGTAAAAACTTGAAGGCATTTTTTGTTTTCATTTTGTGAAAGCATAACATATTACTGGAAAACCCTTTGCAAGTTATTTTCCAATTTTGGTGCAAGCACTATGCATATGTGCACACACAGGTCAAGCACTAATACCCTCCAAACAAGCAAATATGAGGGGAATTTATAAATAATATTCTAATGTCTCAAACTTTGTATATTTTGGAACTTGGAATGACAAACTATTAGTAAATTCCACAGCACTCTACACACACTGCAGGTGAAAGATTGAATTTATAAAAGAGTCAGCATTTAATTCCTCAAAAGCAAGTCAAAACATATGTTTAACATGAAATCTACATACATTACAGGGTGCCCCCAAAAACATGCAACCCAAAAGAAATATTTATTTCATCCCAAAGTACATGCAGATTTCAGAAACTGTTGTTTGGCGGTATCAAATTGAAGCTTTTGAGGTTATCTTTTCAAAACTTCATTTAAATTTGTTGACAGGTGAGGAGATTGAGACAAGTACTTTTTTGTTCTGTTCAATGTGATTTACCACAGCCAATTACAATACTATGTTTAAGCTCATTGAGACCCCTTAACACATAGAATTATTGGAAAGGCCAGCAAAAGAATGAAGATACTGAATGAACAAGGTTCTGTTAAACTGTTTATTTTCCAACAATGGGATACTGAAACGGTTACAAATTGCTTGAGGTACACTGTAAGTTTGCACAGGTTCAGTTGAGGTTAGTTCTCTGAAACAAACGTAATCAACTCTGACACTGTACAATTAATTATCACTTCCCCTTCAAATAAGCATGAGTTTCATTAAGTTCAGTGCTAGTTAGAAGTTTGAAAGAAGGAATCCAAACAGTATTTTGACAACTGAGGATTGGAATTTAGTGACTTCATGTATAAATTAAACTGCATACACTTACAGGAGAGAACCAAAAGTTTGGTTTTATGATTGAAAATAGGTCTGGAATGCATTATCAGATTTAAAATAAGTTTCCAGTTTTCACTTTTGAAAATATAACATCCTTAACTTTATTTGATAACAAAAACAACAATTCTGAATTATTTTGGGAGAAAATACATGTAAATATTACTTTTGGAGATCACCCCGACAGGCACACTGATTTTAATCACACCCTAATGTTCAGAAGAAATCCACTGGACAATATTTGTGCCTGTCAGAAATCTAAAAAAAGATATAATTTACTTGCAACAGCCTGCTCCCCCTCTTACACCCCTTATCAATAATTTTGGTAGTACGTTTGTACAGAGTGGTTTCTAGACAAACTGGATGATAAAAGATTGCTAGCTAGACACTGAAAGCAGTCTGAACCTGCACCAATATCAGAAGAAATTGGTGGCAGTTTTGATGGCTTTTCTGAGAGTTAAATCAAATTAATTATAGACTCATACCAGGTAAAATAAAACAGGGGGGAAACAAATGACAGGTTTCTAACTGTTGGCCAAATTGATTCCCTCTCTCTCCTTTCCAACAGAGGTTGTTAAATCAGTCAATACAGGATCAGCTTCGTGCATCTCCCTACAAATTTTTAAAAATCTGTGCTTCCTGTTTGTTCTGACACAAACAATATACATCCTATAAAGTATCGTTTAGGTAAATACCTAGTCTCCACAAGCAGCACTCTGAGTTTGTGTAGCAGCAACCATAGCTTGTGGGGATTTCGTGAATTCTCCAGGTGGGTAGTTTGGTAGTGGGCAGAATGCCGAGCTATCGCTGGGCTTGAGCTTAAATGATACCTTTTTGTCAGGGCAATACTCATGATCATCCTCGACGAATAGTGGAATTCGACTGCAAAGATTGACAAAGAAACATAATCAACAAGAATTGTGTGTTACAAACACAAATGTCCCACCTAGCCTGTGTCTAAACCCACAATTTTAATTTCATATCACAAAACAAAATCTGTCTTAAAGCCAATGTGACCCTTACCTGTACACTTGAACTTTAAAGCTTAAAGGCTTGTTGGGATTACCAACGAGCCTTTAAGCTGCTGAGTTTGGCGACACAGAATTCATGTTGGTCGTAAAAGTTGCTATTAATTCTGTTTCTAATATTGCACTTAAATTTTAGAAACTGACTTTGTATAATATCCAAGGTGTGGCTGTGTGGTGTGTCATCATTTCATGAAATTTGTGGATGTACAAATTTCATGAAATTTGTGGCTTTTTTGTTTGTTTTATTGCCACTTGGGATCTGTGATGACAACATACCACTGAACACTCGTCTGATTTATGACCACCATGTTCTTCTACAAATAGTGGGGAATCCAAGGGTACAGTGCCTTCTTGTTGGCCAGGTTGCCTGAATGCAAAACTGAGATGAATTTGTGAATCTACCACCATGTGGGGAGAACATACTAGACCATTGCTTCTGTTTTGTTTGTGGTTCTTTTAAGTGTGTAATTAGACCTGGAATTGGAAATTCAGACCACCATGTGATACATGTATTACCCAAGCATAGAAAAAAACTGAAATCAGTTAACCCACAGAAAAGATGTGTGAAAATTTGGAAAGGGGATGCGTTGCAAAACATGAAGGCTTGTTTTGAGTGCACATGCCAGACAGCAGTGCTATCCGGGAGGCCACCATGCTAATCAATGACTGTATTTTGTTTTGCAGGGATCAATATCCCACGAAAATGGTTAAAATATACTCAATTAACCTTTGATATCTTGCAAGTTGAGTTTTTTGTAGCACAAATGTCAGATAGCTTTCAAAGGAGGAAATAACAACAAGCATAAGGATCTCAGAGTTCCAATTAAGTCTCAAACTGAAAGAGCGAAGTCTGTTTACAGGGACAACTTGTTCCACTCTTTTAGAAGAAAACAATTCCAGGGACGCCTGGAATTGTACGCACAAAATAACTTGATCTAAATCATACAAGTTTGACCCTTTTCTTTACACCAATAATCCATGGGACAAAGCAAACAATTTAAACTGATTCTTTTGGAGGTTCGATGAGAATAACTTTGATGATCAGTTGCAGGAACAAAAGAAACTCCTGTAGCAACACCTTATAAAACGAGTTTTGTTTATCTTTGCCCTCCATACAAAGTTTATTCCAAGTGGCCCGCCATACAATAGGTCAATCACACGAATAGTGTGTGTACATATTTTTTACATTCACAGTGACCTGACTTGACCTGCAAGTGCACAACAAATGCACACTTTCACACTGGAAGTTCTTTTGCATGTTCATCAAACTTTGTGGAGATACTTCTCCTCTGAATTAGCCTTAGTTTTGTGCCACGTGTGGAGGAATATACAATGAGTCCTGTGGACATTTTCTGATCTTGTTATGCTAGAAATTGTAAACTAGCACACTTTGAACACTTTACTGCCACGAGAACTAGCATAAAATCCCCACAGTGGTGATTTTTTGTTGGCCTACAATCGCAGCAGTACTTAGAACCGTCATACTAATGGGTTCGTCATTCAGCTTTCAAAAAGTCTACCACCAACAAAAAACAGGCCGATTACGCCAGCAAAAGAGCTTCTACTGACAGTAAGGCACTTCTGGTTCCTCCCCTTCCCCTGTTGCTGCTGTCAATATTAAACTTCCCCTTTCCCAGCCTGGAGATCCAACACTTTGGTTTGCACATGTGGAAGCTCAGCTTACAACGAGAGGTATCACAACACCTGAATTTGCTTATGTCGTCATGTCACTCCAACTGGAGATTGCTCAGGAAGTATGCGATATCCTGATTGATATCCCGCCGGATTCTGAGCACTACAAAACCTTGAAGGCCAAGTTAATTCGATGCTCGTACTAATTATCTCTGAGGAGCTCGGGGACTGGAAACCATCACAGCTACAATGTACTCCACAAAATGAAGCAACTGCAGGGTGACGGTCAGCTTGAAGAGCAGATCCCGAAACAGCTGTTTCTTCTATGCCTTCCTCACAATATCCAACTTATCATTGCTTCAACCACCGATGCAGTCAACATTGAACAGCTCACAGACATAGCTGATAAGGTTGCGGAAGTCGCCGCACCTAGCGTACCTTCCGTCCCTGCCATATCCACCCGACCCTCCCAAGCTACTGCTGCTATTCCTCTGCCAGCCCCTTCACCGGAGGTACAAGAACTCACAAGCCAAGTGACCGACAATCGTCATTTGGATCGACGCAGACAGGACAGTTGCAGTGACTTTCGGAGCAAATCACGCAGCCCAAGTACTCAGCGTCATGTTGCAGGTGACTGCTGATATGACTGGCAGTATGGTAAGCAGGCTTAAAAGTGTGTACCTCTGCATGCACCTTCCATCAATCTCCAGATGTAATTGTGACCAGGGAAATGGATAGACCAGGGCGACTAAAACAGTTAGTCAGCTTGAGGGTCGCCTATTTTTGTTACCGATGAAGTCACTGGTGCAAGATTTCTGTTAGACAAGGGAACAGATTTTGGCATCTGGTCATCAATAGCCCAGAAGCGACGCACACCTAGCATACTCGCCCTCCAAGCAGTTAATCAGTCACCAACTGCAACACGCTGTGAAAAGTCCCTCACGCTCAACTTTGGTCTTCGGAGAACATTCCGCTCGATTTTCAGAACTGCTGATTTGCCAACTCCCATTCTCAGTTCTGATTTCCTGTGACACCTTGGGTTGTTGGTCGACATCAAGCACAATAAGCTCATCAATGCCACCACCAGCCTCATGGTCAATGAGACAGTCTACTCAACACCCTGAGTATACCCAATGTTTGTTAAAATGGAGAGCGCCTCACATTTCAATGACATCCTGTGGCAGTACCCAGATATCACACATCCAATTTTCCATGGCGACAACATTGATGATACACTTGCATGTGAAACGATGGAGGAACATGGGGAACATCTAAAAGTTTTGTTCGCATGGCTGTCTCAGTGTGGGGTTATCGTCAAGCCATCCAAGAGCCAATTGGGTGCCTCGTTTCTGACATTCCTTGGTCACATCGTAGATGAGCGTGGCATCCGCCCACTGGCAAATAAAGTGAAGGTAATACAGGATTTTCCAGAAACAACTTCAGTGCTTAAGTTGAGAGAATTCTTGAAACTCGTAAATGTTTAGAGTCAATTTAGTCCCCATTGCACTGACATTGTACATCCATTAACAGACATTCTTAAGTGCAAGAAGAAGAACATGTACCTGATGATGCAGCACACAAGGCTTTTTGTCCAGGTTAGATATACATTAGTCAATGCAACTCTTCTTGTGCATCCTCAGTCTTCTGCTCCAAGCTCCCTCACGGTTGATGCATCAAATGTTGCTGCTGGGGGAGTTCTGCAGCAATGCGTCAACAATGTATGCATTTTTATCAAAGCACTTCCAGTCAGCTGAGACAAAGGACATGTATATCACCTTCACGTCGTTGACAGGTCTTCAATGCTCTTCAAAGCTTGTCTCATCCTGGCATACAAGCCATGCAAAAGTTAGTTATGACACGGTTCATCTGGCCTGGTATCAACACCGATGTCTGAATATGGGCGAAGTCTTGACTTCCCTGTCAATAGTCTAAGCATGGTTGTCTGATTTAAATCACCTTGATTGTAATTTCAATCGTGATTTAAATCAAACAATTTTTTTAAATCACTGATTTAAATCAACATGTTTAATTCTGCGGGGGTAAAAGGGCAAAACTGTTTCAATGTTTGAATTTTTTTGACTGATTATTTGTACAAAAACAGCAAATCCCCCCTCTGTGAGCCTTTCAGTTCCTATTATTAAAGAAGTGTGAATGCACATGTGTTACACAAAAACTGGGTTGGCAAGAGTTTTATATTCAGTTCTGTCCACTTGTTCGATTTAAATCAACTTTCAGTATGTGTATTTGAGGCTAAGGATTTATTCATGATTAAATTTTACTTCATTTAAATTGCCCACTTCAGAGTTTAACCATAGAGGAAGGACACAGAAGGATTTAGAACTTTGGCTTTTCACAGTAATCCATGAGCATTGCCGCCTGGTCAGACAAACAAAAGTGAACATTCCAAAAATGCCTAATTACTGCCTGCAGCTTTGATACAATTGGGACCAGTAATATTGTAGCAATATTCTGTGTGATTTATTTACAATTAACTCCAACTAATAAATGTGACCAGGAAATAGAGAGCAAAAAATCTCTAACATTAGATCTACTTTCGCCATCATGAATAAACTTTTGACTTTAACCACTACCAGTCGGGGACTCCGAAATCGGAGCCGTGTTGTTTATATGCATGGCCGGGGTCTCCGAACTTGGACAAAGGAAACAGGGCCCTGTAACAAAAGACCGTACTCCGAACAAAAGACCAGGCTGCTGGGGATTACCGGCATTTTTCACTCTCAAAAGTGGTGATAATCCAGCATTATTTTGAAACTGTATACCAGGGTTTGGGGCATTGAGAGCACGCGGATTACCACTGGGGACAAAAGCGCTCCACCACCGCAGCGATGAGCCACACAGCACCGCTGCAAGCTAATCTGGCCCCTATTGAAAAGAGGTCAGCAGTGCACTTAGCCAGGTTCCTGAACAAAAGACAGTTATACAACACCGCACAATCTGGGCTCTGTTTACAAGGCTGCTGGCATGGCTGAAATACTTGGCCGTTAATGAAGGCCACCTGTCAACTTAGAGTAGTGCCTAAAGATTACTTGGTATGACCGTT